AAACACAGCCTAATCGTGTATATGGTACGTGACTTTTAATTAGAAATGGTAATTCAAATACCAAAGTATCCTGATTCCCTTTCTGTTAGGCATCTGTTACCAACACGGCATGTCAGAGGTACCTCTCTATTGATGATTGAAACATCCATGTCACCCACCATGAGTTTTTTCATCTACTTCTGGGAAACTCTATTATTACTGTTTAATTTAACCCAAGACCCATATTCAAAAAATGTTACTGCTCAACAAGGAGCATGAAATGATTTTAAAAATCAACTACTTTGTTCCGAAAACTTCCAAGATCATTCTTCTGATAGAAGAAGGAAAGCTGGATTGGAATAGGGAGAAGGAAATGGGTAAAGAAGGTTTTGATGACAGGTGAGTTCTCTGCTACAAGAATGTTAGTGATTCTCTCGAAGAACCTAAACATGCCTCATTCCAAGAAAAGATAAAACTGCTGTTCTCTGAACATGAATGTCCACAAAGAACTCAGGAATATATTTCTGGTAAGCTTAAGGCAGAACTCTAGAAAACATTCTTGAAAGAATCTTAATGCTATTTATAACCCAAATTATGACTACAACAGAGGAAATTTGGAAAAGGACTTCCTAAAGTTCCCACCATATTCTCTTTAGCAGTTGCTTGGACACATAGGTTGTTAGCTGTCCTCCCTATTAGTACCAGGCCTTCTTTCCTACAGATTCATTAGCTCTGAAACAATACACCATAGAAAAGGATTTACATGAAAGACAGCTGCAGCTGGTTGCCAGGGGAACTGACAATGTTCCAGACACATTCCACATTAGGGGGATAAATTTCTGGGTAGCCAGGGCTGTTGAAGATGCCTTCACCCATGTGGAAGTTTCCACCACAAGCTGGAAGAAAAAGAGAAATAAAGGGAGTGTCAGAGCCAAGGTCAAACCCAAACATTGTAAGATAAAGGAGGAAGAACTTTAGGGCAAGTATTAGCATTAATGGATATAGTACTTTCATCTCACATTTTAAAAATGCATATTGTGTATAATAAGGCAAAGATCTAAAAACTGAAAACCTGGAATACACACAACGTGGTGAAATATAGAATGTTTGCAGTGTCTTTCCTAAAGCCTTTTCTCCGTGTGAACTGTAACTTGGGGGGAATGAAAACTTGTTTTTAAATCCTGCAACCTTCCCATTTTTTTTACCAGGATGGCCTTCAACCCTGGCCTGAAAGAGAAGGTGGTTTTCCAGCTTTTCCTTCTCAGGAGAACACTAAGACACATATCCAAGGTTTCCAGGCATGCTTTGGCCCTGTAGTTCCACTGCTCTAATGAGGCACCTAGCAGTTAAAAGTGCCTCCTCCTGGCTGAAAAACCCAGTGCTGGGTAGCACCTCTTTCCCTACCTGCCCATTTTCCCCATCCACCCTGTTATCCCCATCAATCTCCAGACCCTGCCTGAGTCCAGCAGGAAAGTCCTGGAGATGGAAGAATAGCATGTGGTTGTTCATCCTTAAGAGATGCCAGTAGGTGTTGGCAGTCAGAGACTGTTTAACAAACATGTCACCAAGACACTGGCAACCAGTCACCTGAGATTTAGCTCAAAAGTTAGCCAGGTTTCTCCTCACTTTGTAAGTTCATATTGTTAGAATTTATATATTCATGTAAATGGGAAGAAGGTAAGGTCCGGCATCTTAGGAAACTAGCTCCTAATTTTGAAGGTGAAAGTGTCCCAAATAACAAACCAAAGACTTCTGCCACATGCCTGCTAATGAAGTAGAGCCATTTGCTAGCAGTTCTTACCCGATGTTGATGCAGCATATACAGCCTGAAATCCATCAGAATTCATTCCAGAATCAGAGACAAACCTCAGCATCAGGCCATTGCTAAAAGATGTGATGGGATGGGGTATGGTGGTGCCACAGTAACGGCCTAAAAAACAAAGACAGCAACAAGAAGAATGAACAATGACATGACAGAGGCTGAAAACACATCTTTGCTAGGATTACAAGAGACCCAGGAATACAGAAGAAATCCCTGCTAGGAGAACCATTTAAATCAGTTACTGTATGAGATAATGCCTGAAAATTAAAAATAAGCTGAATATAAGCATAGATAACACAATTTATAAACATGATAAAGAACAATAGTGGGGGGAGCAGGGAAAACCTTAGATGACCTGTCTCCAAATGAAACACAAGTTAAAAAAACTCCAATACAAGCAACCTGGGCAAATAAATACACTAATATGTATGGTCTTGATATACTGTAGTGGAGAAAAGTATGGGTGCTGAAGCCAGATTACCTGAATTCAGTGCCTGGCTCTGCTGTGTGACTTAAGGCAAGTTACTAAAGTGCTCACATGGTTTCCCCATGTGAAAAGGGGTATATTAAAAATAATGAAACCTATATCATAAGGATATGGGGATTGACTTACTATTTATAGTGTACTGAGACTGGTACTGAGCACAAGGCAGTGCTATATAAATATCTGTTAAATATATACCCTTGTCCTTGGTCAAATGCTCATTGCCCATGATTGCCTCAGGCTCTGTTCTGGACAGTAGGATTAAAGCAGTAAGCAAAACTGAGTCTTGTAGTAGTAGATGAAATGCTTGTGAGCCAAAACTAAAAAATTAGTAAATTCATGGAGAAACTTTAAATGACCTGAGATTATTATGCTTGAAAAAAACATTTTGGAAAACAGAAGCACACTCTAATTTTACTTGGATATCAAGCAAACAAAATAACAGATTTTTAATTGAATTAATTAATTAAAACTTTTTTTGTTTTGCTTCCAATGAGGACAAAGGCGAAACTTGCTCAATTTGGACCTAATATTTGCAAATATTGACTAGAAATTTCTGAAAGAATTCTATTTAATGCTGGAATGGACTTCATTCCATTACTATCTCAGACAGTTGCAATTTTAAATAATTTTTAAAATATACACCATCTATTCATGTCCTTGAAAATAAACAAGCTGAGTCTCTTGAACCCCACATTAAATCCTGCTTTCGCAACCTCTAATTATCTTTCTTTGGCTTATGATGTTTTTCATGTGTATTGGAAACATTCTGACCTTGAACTACAGCTTATGAACATGTAAGTGTATAAATAACAAACAGCCAAGACCACAGAGTAAAGTATGGAGAGCCCGGGTACCTTGGAGGGGTGCGTCAGAGTAGAGGCCATCCAAAACTTCTACAAAGTCATGGGTACACCCTTCACTGCCTTCAAGTCCAAAGTGGATAAAGGATAGAGTAATATGATTGACTGTAATTAAAAACAAGAGGGGGAGATTATTTAATAAAGTGTTAGCAAACAAACAACAGGGAGAGAGATTGTGCTTCTGATACTTTCAGATGAGGGCCTTCTAGAGCAGGGAACTTGGAATCTGGCAGATTTGCCCAAGGGTTGAGAGAAACGGGTACAACTTCAGTGCTAAAGCATTTTCTTTGAAGAGAACAAAGAATCAATGTTTTTGAAAATGACTGAAGAATCTGAAATGCTAGTCAGGTAAATAACAGGACTCTTGAGTAGCTTCATCCCAGAGACTATGGGGAATGTCTTTTAGGAAAATACAGCCTTCACAAAATTTTATATCAGTCATTGTGTGCTCCTCTCATAAACATTTGCATCAATAGAACAGTTTCCTTAAATTCTTATTCTTTCCATTCTTGTAAATAAAACCTTCTTCTTTCCTGGCACAAACATCCTAGCACACTCAGGTTTATTTTAAGGCCAGAACTAGTGCCCTAGAGGTTCAGTCATTTGTCAAGAAAGCTTTGAATTACTTGCAGAACACCAAGTGCCTGGGTACACTTTCCTTTTGTTGTTCTTCCAGGGTCCTTAATCTTCAGAATAGGTTCTTTTCCTGTTGCTGTCCTTGAAGTTGTGAGATCTTTCATCTAAATGCTTTACAACTCATTAGAAAATAATCCTTAGGCACAAAACTCTTTGGTTCAAGGCAAGGGGCTTCTTTATCTACTGCTTATTAGGGGTCTGCCTTCTCCTGCTGCAATTGGCTGAGGATTACATCACTGGCCCCCACATCTTATGCATGTTGTTAAAGACACTATCTATTTGTTAACTCTTGACATCACCAGGAAAACTGGCAGACAATATTTTAGCCTAACTCTTTCTTTTGTAAATTATTTTGTACTAGGGCCTGATTAGATTAAGTAACTTGCTTATTTTCACATAAATCATTAATTACAGAGTTGAGTAGACAACTTCCCTACAGCATGTCTGAAATCATAAATTTTTCCTAAAAGCATCAAAGGAAGACAGGGCTCAAAGGAAACAGGATTCATAATGGCGCCAGGATCACTCCTTTGTAGTCATTTTGTTGTGTACCTTAGGGTCCTCTCCTCATTTTCTCTGCCAGTAAAATGTGAACAGTGAGCCTCAAAAAGTGACTGTTACCAGGTCAGAAAATAAGATTATGAGAATCCCAAAAGGAAATCCAATAAGCACATATTGAGTGTTCCTTCTAGGCCTATGTTGGGATTTTGAAAAAACTCACATTGCAGGAGAGAGCAAATTTTATAGTTAGTTTCCACTTTGATCAAAGATCAATAGGCTTGTGGCATTGCATTCTCGAGCTGCGAGGTAATTCTCCAGTCTATGATTCTTATTGTTCACTTATTCATTCAGCAGCTGTCATGAGCATCTACTGTACTCAAGGCACACATGTCAAAAACTACTTATCAATTATTTTTGCTCACCCCAGTCTCACATGCCTGTCAAGACAACAAAGTTATTTAGGCTCTTTGTGGAGTTTTGTGTGGCTTGGCTAAGCCTTGAAACAGTAAAAATTACTTCCCAGTCAGACTAGAAAATGCTTGTTCTCCTGCACATCAGGAATAGGGATTTCCAAATGAAGAGCAGGAAAGTCATCAATTGTTACTGCTGGGGAGATAAGAGCATTCATTACTCATAGACTGACTTTCCCACAGACATGGTTTGTCCTGGGTTCCTTTCCTTTTTGATGTTTGTTACTTACATGGAGGTTGAGCTTGAATTATCCAGGTGCAGTTCTCATTGTTTGGATACTTGGCAGGGTACAATGGAGAGAAAATAGTATCATAAGAATTGGTGAGGATGTAGCCACCACAGACTGGGGAACAAAAACACACACACACACGTGTCATATACTTTTGATTTCTACTGACTGTGCAAAGCAATTATTTCATGAATGAAAATCTAAATGATTTCTCCTTATTTCTGAAATGCATGCCAAGGAAGTTCTCTGCCAAGGGAGCTGAACATAAACCATCAGAAAGTGGGAAAACACTTTACGTTTATAACTGTATTCTTGGATCATAGGAAGCGGGGGAGTAGCATAGAACAACAGATTACACAGTTATGAATCATTCAAACAAAACTATGGCCTTGGCTCACTCACTCTGAACCCTCATAAATTATAAGTATGGGTATCACTTGTTTATCAGGAAAAAAATACTTGATTGGACAAGGCTTCATAAGGATGAAGGCACGTTATCAGAAAAGCTCAAAGCTCTGTGGGAGTCTAGGAGAGGAACCGTGTCTTGACATTGGGGAACAGAAGAGGAACCTCAGGAAGATGTGGAGCGTGAGGGTTAGTCCAGAGAGCGGAAGCCTGAGCACCGTCTTGGTGCTTGGCTATGGACTTGGCTAAAGTGCTTGGGCATGAGGGGTATAGGAGGTATCCCTGGAAAGGGGTCAGATTCTGGGACTCGTGATTAACAGCTGAAGGGGCTTAGGCTTCATTTTCCAGGCTGTGTGACGGCAGGATAGACATCGGGACCCTCAAAGGTAAATCAAAGCGGAACTTTAAGTGACTGTCAAAGAAGATGGGGCAAGAATTAATGAGTTTGAGGAAGCTATTACAAGGGTCCAGGTACCAGTGGGATGGGACTTTTTCCTCTGAAGCAATGCATAAGGAAATAATTAAATGTAAAATAATATAAGCAACTTTTTTCTTTGAAATCACTGGAGTGAATGACACATATATAGAGTATACTTAGTCTGTCTTGCTCCAAATTCTATAGCTTTGGGTGAACTTCAATCCAGGAATGCCCCACACAGGACTCTTTATATGGAATACCAGCAAGCCCATGGAAATGGATGTAATGATAATCAGATTACACTTATTTGAAGTGAATGATCTGAATCATCCAAGTAAAAATCGTCACCACACAGAAGCCAACCAACAATCCTTCCAGGCCTGAGTTCCTCCCATTTCTGACAGTTGCAGAAAGGGTTAATGTCTGAGAAAGATCACAGGAAAGGCAATGGGTGAAAAGGTCTTAGGGGAAAGGCTGAGAAGCAGTAGCTTAAGAACAAAAACAATCGAAAACAACACTGCCTCCTCAGCTGGACAAGAAACCGTGCTATGAGGAATTCAAATCTGACTCTGTATTATTAGCAGGTCTTATAATTTATAGTGGTGTATCTCCTTCTAATGTGAAAACTTGGATAGTTGCTAGATATATGAATTTGCATAAAAACTTTATTATTATACTGTCTCTCACGATAGTGGCATCTTTAAGTATTGTTCCGAAAACTTTGAGAATACACAATGTGTTCAAGAGCTTTGTGGGTCCTAGGAAGTCAGCAACATCTAAGGTATACGAGGATAAGGTCTAAAGTATGAATAGTTGGGATCACAGTAAATCAGTGTTCCCTCTTTCTACTTTAACTTTTGCATGTAACCCAGGAAGCTGTGGTCAGTTTCTGAGGACTGGTCTCATTTTATTACAGGACCAAGAAGGGTATTTAACAAAATTTCTCCTGGACTTGGGAGACCAAGGAGGTACTTGCCTTGCTTGAATTGAGCTCGGAAGCCTCTGCTCTGTCTAGAAGAGCCAGACTGGAATCTCACAAAGAGGCTGTTGCCTGAAGAAGTGATGGGGTTCTCTGGCTGCCGTCTTCCACACACACTGGCCAGGCGGGTGGTTGCAGAGTTTGAACCATCATATGTCTACAGAGATGGAAGACAGGGAAAACAGGCTCAGACTCCAGGTCTACATTTCCTTGCACTACCTGCACAGTGATGAGCTAGTAGAAAGCCACACATTAGCTGTATCTGGAGCAATAGGCTTTGTTTTATTGTCTTGCTATATAATCTCATGGGAATGTCTGAGTCTTTGGTCATTTCTAGGGACACTTGTGGAGATTTCAGTAGGAATTTCTCTGCTAGAGCCACTATTAACATCTTTCTTTGAGTGTCTTCATAACATGTACTAACAATGTTTGATGAAAGAATAAATACAAGAGCATTGAGAAATAATGATGAATGACATTCATTGTCAGAACTCAACATTTATTGGAACTTTGTCTTCATAAGGTCATGGTCAAGCATGGTAATTCCTTCAATAATGTGAATGGTATGAGCCTAATTTAAGAAATTGTATCATTTTTTAAAACATGTATTAGGCTATCTCTGCTTTATACTATCCCAGGACTTATCCAACCTTCCATATGTGCCAATGGACTAGAGTTAACATCACATATATCTGAAACTGGAGCTTAATCATTTGCTTGGAACTCTGTCTAGTGTGAATTTTTAAAAATACACTTTTATTGTAAACCAGGGAGAAATGAGTTCCTTGTCTTTGGATGACAATAATACTAGCTACCAATAAGAGCTCACTAAGTGTTGGAAACTGGCTTCAGGCTGAATATATGAATATTTGTACATGATTATATACTGCTCCATTTTATCCTTCCAACCCCCTGTCTGTTTTTAAGATGAGAACAACTGATGCACAGAGAGCCTAAGTACTCTGGCCAACTCACACAATTCTAAAGACTAGCAGGCCACATTGAACCAGATGGCTAGTCGGAATTGAAATTCTTTGATTTCATTAAATGTAAGATGTAAATGCATCACCATGGTGGAATTAAAAGTATGAAATTAAAATATACTATTTCATCTAAAACAAACTGCCACTTATATTTTTATAAGAAAATCTTAGGAAAAACAGAAAGTTCAGGGATCAAATGTAAGGAAGATAGAAGTAACTTTAAATATCTGGTGATAATTATAATCAGTGCTCTCTTTAGCACGTATGTAAGGTTGGAAGCTATTCTGAGTTTGATTTATACAAGTGTATTCATCAAATATGAATATTTTAATTACCAAAGGAGAGGAATAAGACTTTTGTAACAAAAAATTTAAAATAAATGTGATTTTTTCCTTCTTTTTTCCTTTGTTTTCAATGTTCACATTTTAAATCTATATATCCAACAAACAAAACTCTGAAACTGGTTTTTATTTAACAAAGATTGACGAAAAACTAAATTGTGTTATCTTAACCAATTCAAAATACAGTTTCCAGTCTAGCATGACTGCCTCTTTTGGACATTTTGAATGCCTTAAACAGGTGCCTCAACAACATGGAAGCCATCATTGGAACATGTCTTACTACATTCACACTTCAACCTACTCTTAAATGTTACCACCATATTGGCTTAATTCATGGCTTTATTAATATGTTTTAGTTGGTTTTATACCTTCCTAAGCTTATAGTTATAATATCCTAGAGTTTTAGTTGTTCTATTAGTACTCTCTTGGTTGTAACATCAAAGGATAAAAAATAGCTTCTTAGAGTAACAGGGCCTAGGGAATATATCAATTAACTTGATCAAGGCACAAGATTACATGCTTCTCTGGAGATGATTTCCATCTTTTTGTGGTGTTGTTGTTATGACAACATTGCTTAATTTTTTAAAACTCTCATGGTACACTAAGTTCTATGACACTTATAAACTATGCCCCCATAGCAAAATTTATAGCCCTTTTCAAATCCACATGCTCACAAAGAAAAGCCTCTTCTAGTCTTTTTTTATTTCTCCCCAAATTCTGAAATCTGGTGAGGAAATAGATATTATTTCTTTTTTTTTTCTAAGCCTTTATTTTTGCTGTAAATAGTTGCAGTTTTCTCAAGGGAAAGGAGAAAATGAGATAAACTGGAGAGTCAAGGCTAGAAACCTCAGAAAGTCACACCAATGGGCCATTTTCTAGGGCATCCTCTGAAAGGGACACATTTAGAGTGGTTGCAGCTTCCCAGCCTCCCTCCCTCTCCTTCCCCCACCCCAGGACCTGGAATTATGTATACCTCTGCCAAAATTCATCAGGCGGAGGCACTGCTTCACAAGGAATGGATCAAGATTCTCAGATGTTTTTAAACTTAACCTATACACCCATGGCATGCCAAACTGTGAGCGTGTTGTAATTTTACAAGCACCATCACAAATACCCTAATCTACTCAGCAACACCATGAGACTTTTTTTCAAATGAGACAAATGTGTTAGTGATTAAACTATTATCTTACTTGATATAAGCTAGTGACTTATACAAAATGATGCAGGTAGTGAACAGCAGTCTTCTCTCACCAAATTCTATATTATATCATACCACCTCTATTTAAAATTCTTGTGAGTAAATACCATTCCATGAAATTCCAAAACCTCAGCTTTTAAAACTGCATTTGTAGTATCAATTCTTTTATTTGAGATGTTGCTAACACTTATACTATTAAGCTAATATTCTCACTTTTAAAGTTTTAATTTGCAACACTAAAAGAAAAGCATTGAAAGGAAGAAGTTGTTCATATTTATCTAAAATTCTACAGTCACAAATGCTATTAGTGTTCAATGTTGCTTATGTCCACTTAGTCCCAAGACAGAGCTAGTAAACTGTAACACTACTGGGTCCACATAAAATGTATTTATATAATCTATATAAGTCTTACTAAAGTCTACTGCAAAGAATTTTCTAAGCCTGGGTGTTGATTTTCTGACCTGTTACTTAATCAGTAAATGTCAGAGCAAGGTACAATCAAAAAGACAAAATTTTATGCACTTCAACTTGCTCATTTCTAGATTAAATTAATGAAATAAAAATTTGAAGCCAAATCCACAAAGTAAAAGCAGCCTCCAAGTCTCGGGTTCCCAACTACAGCAGCTCTCCAAAGCCAGAGTTAGATCTGGTTAGTATAATCTAATTTCTACAGAAAGTTTACTAGTCCCTTTAGAAATTATTGGGAGTTTTGTAAAATTCCAAGACACTAGCACACACATTTGAAATACTAAAACAATTTTATCACATAAAATAGGAGGCATTAGAAGTCTAAAATCTGGCACACAATAGACAATAAGTATTGGTTATAAAATGAATAGCATATGATACTTTATGGTCTCTAAGAACAGAGGACTAGAGTTGAGACAAATTCTGAATTAAGAACAATTACTTTCTCCCTCATGGAACGGATTGTACAAACACACAGTATGTGCAGTAGGGAGTAAGAGTTTATTCAGAGGGAGAAAGAGGTCAATTGTGACATTGGCAGGCTTTCTACATTTTGAGCCCAAAGGAGAAATGGCGGGAGTCCAATTACAGGGCATGGCCCACTTTACACACTTAGTTCTCAGGTGCCTTTCACCTGCCACGTGAGAGAGGTGGAAGAAGGAGATAGACCAAGAGCATCAGGCTCATTCTGAGGTGCACACATATTACAATGTCATCAGAACCCTCAACACTCTGAGCTCTAGCCAGAAGTGAGAACTAAGCCAAAAGCTTATGAATTTTCATACTTGACATTTCAATACCTTGAGGAGATTTGAGTAAATGTCAACCATTGCCAATGTTAGCACATGTCAACCTTGCCACATATGTAAAGTGATACATGGAGGAAAGCATTCAAGTGAGAGAATAGCATCACCTCCTGATGACGTTTACAGTTTTGAGGTCTATGATCAGAGTCCAAAGGGATTACAATTTGAAAAAATAAAGAAGCCAAGTAATGAGAATCTTTAACTTGCCCCCTACACACTGATGATATAAATATGTATTATTTAATTGTACATATTATTTTAAAGCAGGTGGCAGAATTCTTTTTAGAGGGATGTACAATCTTTATTTAGCAAAATATCATCATAACCTTTCAGAACATGAGCACAATGGGGAGAGGGATGCTGTGCTTGGGGGCAAGTTTGAGAGTTCCTAACGCATAGTAAGTATATAATAGATTACTATTAAAATGAGTCAGACCCAGCACTGGTGGCTCACACCTGTAATCCTAGCTATTCAGGAGGCAGAGATCAGGAAGATCACAGTTCACAGCCAACCCAGGCAAATAGTTCCTGAAACACTATCTTGAAAAAAAACTCTTCACAAAATGAGCTGGTAAAGTGGCTCAAGATGTAGGCCCTGAGTTAAAACCCCAGTACCACAAAAACCATAAATAAATAAATAAATGAATCAGAGAGTTAAATTGCTAAGTTTCTGTATAAGGAATGAGGCAAAACTTTGGAGGCAAAAAAGAATAGGCAACCAAAAGGGGGTTGTTTAGAATATGGTGAGATAGGAGCCTGAGTGGGAGACATAATCAATGAAAATTTCCCAGATGGAGACTGGGGAAGAAGAGGCAGGTAACTTCTGACATGGTTCCCAGCGATTCCCAAGTCCTGGCATTTGTGTCCTTGAACAACCTCCTCTAATTGAGTATGGGATAGACCTAATGACTTGCTTTAATTAACAGAATGTCACAAAAGTGATGGGATCTTGTGTCCATTGTTAAATTACAAAAGATAGTGACTTCCATCTTGCTGGCACCTCCTCCCTTTCCCTCTTTGTTGCTTACTCTGATGAAGCAAACTGCCATGTTGTGAGACATTCTATGGAGAAGCTTGCCTGGCAAGGAGGCAAGGGAGGCCTCTGACCAACAGAACCAAATCCTTGCCAACAACCACGACTGAGCTTAGAAGAACTCAGATAAGTCACTTATCAAGCTGTGAAGAAAGTATAAAAATGGTTGCTTTAAAACATTGTTTTTGGGGTAATTTGCTACAGAGATGATACATAACTAAAGGGTGTAAAATGGAGGGTTGACGAAAGGATGGGCAAAGGCCTTCTAAGAACAAGGCATCTAACATTGCATTTTTAAGGTAACTTCTATGCCACTTTTTGTAGAAAT